AACCACGGCACGTGTCCCCGTCACACCATGTCAAACGCAACTGATGATTCATCAGTATCGAAACCGTTAGCCAACGCACAAGGTCCTTACCACAAGACGAGTCAATAACAATGGCACGTACGGCTCCGACATACTACCGCTAAGCGGCACAGTCTACCAGACTTGGAATATAAGGTTATTTACACCTCATACAAGGCCTGATCCCCTTGCTGGATTTTGCCATCGGCGACGCACATTCTCACATCCAATCTCCGGAGAGTGCCACGACACTTTAATCATATGTTCTTCCTGTTCCGACTGATGGTCGTTCCTTCTTGACCCTTGTCAGGGGGCGAATGCATTACACGGCTCTTAGCCTTCTTTCGCGACTCGATCTAGATAGGGTCTTGAGTTCGACTCATGACGATAGTCCTCGAGAATAGTCATTGAGAGCACAGAATTCTCAATGATCCGTCTCTAGTCATACTAGTTATGATGTGGAAACATCGCTCTAGTATATTTAGCCAGCGTGGAGGCACTTCCACAGCTACTAGATTAATGCTAGACGAATCTTCCTCGCGTTCCGTTTTGGGATCGTGTGAGAGAGTAGATTACTCCGCAACCTACTCTTCACACTTTAACAGTTCTCCGCGGGAGTTCAGATTTCGATCCTTTGATTGTGTGATCTCTCTCGTTGATTAGTTTTTCATAGCTTTTTCTAATCCTCTCATAACTTTCATTCTCTCAAACTCAAAACACTCGAAAGATCTTTACACTAGCTTTTAGCGTAGTGCACTAGCTAGATTCAAGGGAATTCGGAGCAGTGAGCAGTGCATCTTATTCTTATTTTAAGGAGATCTAGCTAAAGTACTACATGTAGGGAAGTTATCTAAGTTGCTCCTTTTCCAGCAACCAGCCAGTGATTAAGTAAATTTGACTCTCACTCTGCAATCGCCGATGACAGTTGGTGGTGGGCAGCTGGGAGCGAAAACCTTGGCATTGTCTACTTCTGATTGAATCTATGGCTCACGGATGACCGTAGAATCAGCGATTTTCTGGTACTCAGAAATCCTCTACGCGCGATCTGCGTGCGTCTGGTAGGATTTCTGACAGCCAGAAAACAACGGCCGCTGGAAAGAACAAACTCAAGAAGAAGAGCACCACCATGGCGAGATGCCGTTGTTGCAACAGTTGTCTATGTAGAAGGTTAACTGTGGGAAGGACCACCATACAGTTGTAACTCCGCGTCATGGTCGCCGTCAATCGCCCCTGGTTTATTTTAGGAAAGATGGCAATGGTTAGCATGAAAGCATCAGTTTTGTCACCAAATGGAGCTGCCGCCACTTACCCAAAATGGTGAATTTCAGCTCTCGAGGTACTCTGGTTGGTTGCTTGCCATCAGGTCTGATAGGAAACAGGACCACAAACCATAATGAGACCTATGCTGTGTTGGGTCTATGGCTGTGGGAGCAGAAAGGGGGCCAAAGAGAGTATCTCGAAGCCCTTTAGCGCCACTTCAAGGTGAGCTATCTTTTCGGCCTCTTCCATTGTTGCAGTGATCTCTTTGATGTGATCCACCTCCAACTCTTTCAGCTTCTTCCTCCTGCCTGTGAAATTCAATGCAGTCATGGTGGCTCTAGCATTCTCTCCAAGTCTAAAGATGAGCTCCACAAGAACATCTGCCGCATTTTCCTTTTTCCTGAGAGCTGCATAGGCAATCCTGCCTTGAACCGCCATGGTCTTGTGGACATCGGTGTTCTTCTGCCGCTGGTTATCTTTCTAGTTTTTGTGTGCATTTGCCAGTACGTGCTGCTTCAGCCTCTCCACTCGATCAAGCTTGAAGTGTTCCTGTCGCATGGATAATTCAAGTTGCCGAATTTCCTCCTTGAAGTTGGGTGTCTTGGCTATTTGTGTAATGGCAGCACACTGCTTCTTGGCACTGTCCATCATCTTTTCAATCTTGTCAGTGGATCCCAGCTCTCTAATTGTGCCAATTGGATGCACTCTAGCTGACCGGACAATCGCATATGCACTCCTGAGCTGTTCGGCTCTGTCGGTATTGGAGACATTCTTTGCCTCTTTGACACCTGCTTCCACAAACTGGGTATGGCAAGGCAGAGGTAGATAAGACGTTAGTAGGTACTGCTTGAATGCATTCTGCAGGTTCTTGTCATCTCGATAGCTCAATCCTGACAGTCGAAGTTCTGCTGCGTGGGTAGCAAGTGGTTGATATGTAGGCTGGACGTTTGCCTTTTCCACTTGTGTCTTCAAGAAAGAGAAGAATGGTTGCAGACATATTGTTCTTTTGTGTACCGTGGAAGCAAATGATGCAACCGGAAACTCTTCTACCTCCCTCTGCAGAATTACACTGGCAATAATGTCGGCAAGTGGTTCCTCTGACATCAGTCCGGCAGGTAGTAGAGAAGCGCAGCAGGTTCTGTTGAAGTGTTTGTTTGACATTGCGATGGCTATGTCCACAAACTGCACGGCCTTCTTTTTCTGCTCTTCAACTTCGGGTGCAGATAAACTTGAGAATGATCCACGGAACAGTGCAAAGGATGTATGAGTGGTAAGGATGGACGATTTGATGCTCTGCAAGTCTTGTTCAATAAGGAAGAACCTAACTGCAGCGTTGTGTGTCTGGAAACCACTGACTTTGGACAAATCCTTGCAGGATTGGAACTATTCGAAGTGTGGGCAAAGGAATGCAGAGTGGAAGCCAACAAGCAAAGTCAAATCGCTGTACAGTAGTGGCTCACACATCAAAGGCTGTAGACCGGACGCAATCTTGTTTGACTTGTCTGAGCTTGCGTTGATGATGGTCTGACACATGCGTACAACCAATAGATAAATGCTGAGAGTAACTCGCGATGTCTCACCCACACTCCACCATCGTGTAAGTACTGGTGCCTGAATGCGGCGCTTCACCACTTTGATAGTTGCCGCATCCATCTCCTTGAAGAGCTGAAACAGCTTTACCTTCTCCCACTTGTTGGCGAAGGATTGATCGGCGTCAGTAGTTGCCACAAGAGTTTCGTCAAGGAACACATCCATAAAGTCCACAGCCTCAGACACATGCATCCTCCACACATCCATCTCCATGCTGTCTTGTAAGTCAAACACTGAATGGATGAGCTGCATAACATTCTTCTTCTCCAGACCTCCCTCTCCAAACAATGCTTTGACTGGATTGGCAATACACAGCTGTAGGTTGTGCAATGCACAAGACTGCGCCCAGTAAGGTTGATGGCAAAGTCCTCTTGAATTCAAAGCGGCGGCCAATCCATCAAGGACACCACCACCACCGCTGTCAGTTGTTTGGCCCTTCAACTTGGACACTGACACCTTCTTCAGAGATGCGGCAATGGCATCAGCGCATTCCTCCGTTGTGCCACCGCTTGCATCGATATCCAAAAGCTGCTTCTTGACACTTCTTGTCTCTAAATCATACCATGACAGAACCTTCACGAAGTGGCTGACCCCTTTCTTGTTCCCCTTGTCACATGACAGAAACACTGTCTTGCCATTGAGACGTTTGGCTAAGCAGTACATGTCCTCTGCTGCTGAAGTGTACATGAGATCGCGTAAATATGTCTCCGATGGAAAGGATTTCGAGAATGTGTCAGCGTTTGTCTTCTCCAAAAGTCCAGCGTCAACAAGAAAGGCTGCCACAATAAGGGGGATGATGGTTGCTGCTTGGGAGATTGGAAGTGCCGGACAACTAGCCAGGGCAATAACAATAAGCGATTTCATGAATGGGGATGCCCCATTGAATGTCTTGTGAGAGAAGCCTTTCTGTAGTTCCTTCAACTGGTTTTCTGTATTCCGAAGACGTTCAAGCCGGCACTTTGGTATGACAGTATGCGTGTGTGGGACATCCATGATGGAAAAGCTGCTGCCCTGACTACTGATCTCGACATCACCAACTTTAATTTCATCCTTGCCCTTCTTCCTTTTTCGATTGTCCACGATTGCTTCAACCTCAGCAGGAACCTCAATCTCCTCAACACTTTCGGGTGTGCTCCCCTCATAGTTGTTTTGCGCAACCACTGCTTCCTTTGTCACTGTGTGATGGACCGGTGTTTGTTGGATGCGACTGGCGTTCATGTTGAAATGCGCATTAAGATAAGTATTGACATCATTTATCCAATCCGCTTCCATGTTGAATTTGGCAGCAATGTACTCCTCTTCTGGCTTGTAAGTCCATGGCTGCTTGCAAATGAACTTCTCTCCTGTGTGGGTTTCATGGCGAGGCTTGATCTTGGGGGTAAACAAGGTGGCGTCTTCATAAAAGGCGCAGCCACTACAATAAAGACTCCGTTCCAAGGGCCACTCTGTACAGTAACTGATGCGGCGGATGGATTTCGGTGGATTCTTCTTCACGATGGGTAGTACGCCGTCACCACTGCGCTTCCTGCTACTGCGTCTGCTACCAGCGCTAGTACTGCTACAGGAAAGCGATGATACGGAAGGCGGCACCATGGTGACCTTTCGAAAGCAAGTAACTCGATAACTCTTATCTACTATTGCATCTAAAGCAAGCAAGCGAAACAGCGCCATCCAACAAGCAAACACACATTGATCGATCCGTTGGCATCAACAGAGCCAATGTGTTTCGACTCTTTAGAAAAAATGAGCGTTTTCGCCTCAAGACGTCACAGTACAAATCCTTCGTAGAAAGGACTTTCGAACTCATTTGATCCTTTAAATAGGGGGGGGGTTATGACGTTTCGGTGCTCCGGAACACCCTTGCTAAAATGTAACCTGCGTCCATCAAATTATGTCAAACCGACACAGCTTGGGCAGGGTCAGCATGTACATACTCTTCTGGTGCTAACCCTGCCCTTGCTGTGTCGGTTTGACAAGTTTTGAAACACCAACGGCTAGGCTTAGCAAGGCTTGAAGTTCGCGACAAAATCGTTGCTATTTATTTAGCGCGCCGGCAAGTCCGGATCGCTGGCTAGGTGGGTATCCGTGAGCCATAGAATCGAATCATTCAATTTGTGACCTTACATTGATATTTAGAATCCTCTTTCTTGAGATCCGGGGCAGCCATCATCATGTAGCCACTGGATCACCTCGATTTGGTTATTCCTGTGGGCAGCGTAAAATGTCCATACCGGTACATCCCACGGGCAACCGCTTTCATGAGCCCACTTTAAAAGTTCCAAATGCCCATTTGAGGCAGCTTCTTCACATGTAAGTTCATCCCATGGACATCCATTTTCGTGAGCCCACTTCACAATTTCCAAATGCCCATTTTGAGCAGCTTCAGCACATGTCTGCTCATTCCATGGGCAACCATTTTCACGAGCCCACTTTAGAATTTCCAAATGGCCATATCCAGCAGCATAGGTACAGGTTTGTTCATTCCATCGACAGCCATTTGCATGAGCCCACTGCAGAATTTCCGAATGACCACTTCGAGCAGCACTGGAACATGTATATTCATTCCATGGACAGCCATTTTCTCGAGCCCACTTCAGAATTTCCAAATGGCCACCTTCAGCAGCATTTGAGCATGTCTCTGCATTCCATGGGCAACCATTCTCCCTTAACCATTGTTGCATTTCCAAATGATCATTTTTAGCAGCTCCGGCACACGTGGGCTCATTCCATCGGAACCCTTTTTGTCGTGCCCACTGCATGACATTAAGATTTCCAATTTTGGCAATTTCAGTGCAAACATTTTTACGATGAGGTGTCTTATGGTAGGAATTGTCCTTAAGCCAAACTTCTGCTCGCTGCTGGTTGGAGAAAGTTTCACTGTACAGAGTATCGGTGCTTCCTGCAGAGCTGTTGGAGGTTGTATTACAGACACCTCAATACAAATTAGTCGTTTATCCCAATCTAGTTATAGGGGATATCTATATCTATTCTCTAGTTACATACATGGGGAGTTTAACTGATCTATATGGTCACCCCCTTCACTATATCCTTTGAAGTTGAATCAATCCCAGAAAACATGGAGAAAGATCACTTCTTGGAAATAGCTTAACAGTAAAACAGTTTTTTACCTTTACTAAGCTAGAGTGTTACTAGCAACCAACACTATTTCCAAGAAGACTCTCGAAGGGTTTCATCTCTCGAATTCGAGATCTCGACCATGGGATATCGACATCCTATTACATGATATCCTCAAGCTATAAGGTAACCAACAAGTCAAGGTTCAGGCAAAAAGGGCTCTAGCCTCACTGAGAGATGCGAGCTATCCCAACAGCCTAACAGGAAAAAGGCAACATCACGAAAGAATCGTGCCTCACCACATTGGCTACACCGGAGCAAACGGTCCTCCAGAAGACAATCGAATCAGCCAGAACGCATTGTACCACATGAAAGAGCATTACTAACTACTCTTTGCCTGAACGAAGCGAATCCGACAGCAACTGAATGAGCTACGGCCGATTGAAGATCTGCACGAAGCAACAGCTCCAGGAGTGAGCTCCGGAGCACGAACAAGCTAGCTCACAGGAGTGAGCGAGCGAACATCAAGATTCGAGCTACAGAGCGGGAAACTGAAGATCTTCGTGCTGCGGAAACAGCCATCGTACGAATGCTACGTGCAAGTACGAAAGACAACTACAAAAGAAGACTCAAGAGTGCCGCCAAGCTATCTAGCTACTAGCTACCACGTCGAGTCCAACAAGAACAAGGCTTCCGGTGAGCCGGAACCAGCCAAGGCTACTACGGAACCAAGTGGTCGTACGAAGCTAACACGAAGAGCTACCGTACGGTGCAAAACTATACCGTACTGTAGCTAGTACCGCACAGAAGAGGCTACTGTACGAACAGAGCCTGCAGGAACAACGCCAAACAGAGGTGTTGCCACGGAAGAGGAACTAGATAACAAGTTCCAACAGAAACCACAGAGGTACTTCCGTGGGAGTGTTCCTATCCTCAACAAGAGAGCCATCGAAATAGGCTACTAGAAGAGAGGTGCGAAGATTTTCACGTCGCACAAACAAGACGTATTACCAGGCCGATTACACGGCAACGACAGGTCCTACAGAAGGACTGTCATACAACAAGGTGTCCTTTGAGCAACAGAGGACAAGGCCTGAAGAGTGCAAGTCCTCGAATGCAACAGGAACCGAGTTGCATCCATCGGCAAACAAGCTGGATAACAGGGAATTTGCGAGCGAATTTCCACCAGCAGCCAAGAACAAGACGACCGAAGCGATCGAACGATCGCTACTACTACGAAGAACAAGAACGACGACGCCGACTGCCAACGCTGCAAGCGTCAACACAAGAACAACAAGACGACGACCACCACTAGTCAGTCATCGCTACTGCTACTGCTACCGCTACCACAAGAACAAGCTATCGGTCGTTGATACCGATAGCGACAACAGCGGCACCAAGGAGAGTTGGCAGCAGAAGAAGTGTGCCGACAGCAGAAAGCAAATCTTTGCTTTTTGTGAGGAAATCGCTGACTGCTGTCATCAGTTCCACGGAACGACAAAGAACAGCCCCAGTTCAGCGAGCACTACAAGAAGCAAAGCCACTGAACGTCCCAGCCAGGAAAAAGGTATCTTTTCGCGAGATGGTATCTTTCCAGGAGTGTACGGAGAGATCCAAGCTACCGTTTGATCTCTCCGTACGTCGGCAACAAGAGGGTTCTACCGGTATGGCGAATGCAAGCTTGCCACCGGTACAGGAGCTACCAGAGCATGTCCTGCACCAGATAGCTAGCTAGCTAGCTACTGGTACGGAGCGAAGCACATCCAGTGCAAGCCACTGGAGCAGTGTAAGCAGAACAAAGCTATAGGAAGCACAGGAGTGCTTCCGCCAGCATTGAATAATTTCTTTGGAGTGTGTATTGAGTTTACACTCAGCACCTCCTACACCTTTCATGGAGTGTGTATTGTGGCATCCAAGCCACAGCACCTCCTACTACCTTTTATGGAATGTGTACTGTGCAACTCAACCACAGCACTTCCTCCACTGATTACAGGCAAACCTGAGGCAACAACAGCCTCTAGGTAGGCAACAACAGATACCTTTACAAGACCATGCCCTTGCTATTTTATCACAGCAAGTGCACAGGAGTGTGAGGGTACCCAAATCCAAAACCTACAATCCTACAAACAAAATCATCATAACATCCGCCTTTATAGGCAATGCCGTAACCATCAATGGCCACAACTACACGGCCAACAACCATCAATGGCTACATCAATGGCCACAACGGTATCTACCGCTACCAATGGCAACAACAGCCCACAACGGTATCTACCGCTACCAAACCAATTACAACGTAATCGACACCAAACCAGAATTGCATCTACCAAATGGCAACTGCAACAACAGCAGAACAAACAGTGAACGTTGAACCGAGTAGCTAGCTACAAGCAAGCAACTCAAGAGTTCACAAGACAAGGAACCAAGCCACAGGATGGCTGGAGCATTCAGAGTTTGACCCACAAGCGGGAACCTGATCAATAGAAACAACAAGAGGGTGCACACCTCAGCTCCACTGCAACTACTGTACAGAGATTGCAACCAACCTTAGTCTCACACCAACAACAGAAGTACGTGAGTACATCAAATCAAGCCTACAACAGATACAACTATGGACGACTACAAGTTCTGTCACAGCCTGCTCACAGGAGTGTAAGAGCAGCGACAGAACCAACACTTGTCCTGCCACAGCCATCTCACAGGAGTGTAAGAGCAGTGGCATCACCAACCCAAGGATCTACCGACTACATCACCATCGAACCATCATCGACCGTGACACGTCCAGGTCCAGTGGAGCCCATCAAGTTGGAGCATCCACAACTACTACGGAATACTTCCTTACAAGTTTCCAAACTTACAAGGGCTTACAGCCCCAACTCAGAGTATCATTGTGGCAAGGAACTTCCTCCTAGTTCCGGCTACTACAACAGTTCTCCCAAGTGTCGCTATAGCCTGACTTCCCAGTCTCAGCTACGGCAACACCAAATGACGGTACCAAGTGTACCAAGTGACGGCACCAGTCACCACAAGTGACGACACCAGCAGTCACGAGTCTCACATGAGTATAAACAACCATGACAAGAGGAAACAATAACTCAACCATTTCCTCATTCCATCTTCAGACATCGAGACCATTCAAGAACTAGGTTCAGTCGAACCCAACAAGTCCGTGACTTCCAAGCTACATCATTTCCAGCTTCCATGCACCTTCCAATAGGGCATCACTTCCCACAAGTCTACGACTTCCAGAAGCTTCAACAAGCTTCCATCGACGACGGGCTTCCAGCCCCATCCAGTGTCAATGCAGCAGCCGAACTTCCCAGTCCGAACCGCAGGTACACCAAGTGACGGTATCATCTGACACCAGTCTTCCAGGAGTGGCACCACTCTCAGAAGGAGTGCCAGCCACAAAGACTTTTCCGATGATGACAATGTCCGTATTGTCTCATCTTCACCGCTCAGCTTCTCGTTACCAAGCGGGATGCCGAGCAACCACTTCCAAGGTTTGTTTTGGACTCATTGCAAGCCAGTCGGCATGACGACGTGAGACTTGGATTACAAAGCCTTTCCAAGGCAGGAGCCTGCTTATCCAAGCACCGATAGACACATTGAGTCCTATCGATTCTCAGGAATCCTAGAGGCACCGCCTCAAGCTCCACAGCAATCCAAGTTGCATCCAATGTCCAAACCAACCAAGCCAGCTTTGGCTACAACAAGTACAAGTCCTGCCACAGCTAGCACACAGGAGTGTGCCAACAGTGACAGCAGGAGTGGTATTGATAAAGTTGTACCCACCAAAACCAAAGTCTCAAACCTTTTTCAACCTTCCTTTGAATTCTCCGATCGATCCATCCAGATTGACACACCAGATCGACTGACAAGAAACGATCATGCCAGATCGAATGACACGAAGCGATCGAATCACAAGCAGCGACCACGAGATCGATTCAGTTTGACTCTCGGGATCGACTCAGCAGATCCATCATGAGATTGCAAGTGCGACCACAGAAGCCTATCAAGGCAGAGCAAGCTTACTCAAGCAAGGGTAGCCACGCACCAGTGCTACCGGGATATCTTCTGCAGAGGATTCCCACAGTTCCACAGGAACAGTTCCACCATGGAACCAGCTCAAAGCAAGCAACAGTTCGACGGAACGCCACAAGTTGCCAGCACACATCTACAAGAGGTGCAAACCAAGGTCCACATCAAGCAAGCACACATTCATGTACAACAAGTCACAGCCATTTGATTCCAAAGAAGAGGAGGCCGTGATGAAGGAAGAAGCTTCCCCAGCTGGGAAGAAGAGGATTTCATTCCTCTGGAAAAGACAACAGCAGGACATCCAACACTTCTTGGATATCCAACAAGAAGAGACAGCTCATGTTCCATTCCAATGGACAACAAGCTGACTCCAGATAGCTACCAAGCTATTGCACAGACTCATGCTCACCTGATTTCCAAATCCAGTATCAAGCCTGAATGGATTGATGTTTCCACACATCATTGGCGATTGAGACCATGGCATATCGATGTCCAGTTCAGTCTACACCGCCAGCCAAGAGCACAGTCTGAGTCTACGCGAATGCAGCCGGAACTTCCTAGTTTCCAGCTACAGCAATACCAAGTGACCGTAACTTCCCAGTCCACGGTTCAACAAGTGATCGGAACTTCCCAGTTTCGAATACAGCAACGCATCAAGTGACGGCACCAACCGCCACAGCAAGTCATACACGAGTGGCAACACTCACAGGAGTGGTAGCCACAGTGGCTTTTCATGACGATACTGTCCACATGTCCACATTGACTGTGACAGATTTGTCAGCACTGCTATGGATGACAAGCTTCTCGCCACCAAGCGGAATGCCGAGCAACCTAGCACGTGGTCCCTCGACCAACAACTGTTCCTTATGGAGCAACCATCATTACATTAATTATTCGTTCCACGGTATCCTTTATGGAACCGTGCAGGAGTGTGTTGAAGGTTGTATTACAGACACCTCAATACAAATTAGTCGTTTATCCCAATCTAGTTGATAGGGGATATCTATATCTATTCTCTAGTTACATACATGGGGAGTTTAACTGATCTATATGGTCACCCCCTTCACTATATCCTTTGAAGTTGAATCAATCCCAGAAAACATGGAGAAAGATCACTTCTTGGAAATAGCTTAACAGTAAAACAGTATTTTACCTTTACTAAGCTAGAGTGTTACTAGCAACCAACAATCATAGTATTCAACTCTGGTAGCGCGGTTCATGGTGAAAGCTTGTAAGTACACAACGGCGAAATGGCGCAAAACAGTGTCACAATGAAGCTGATCTTTTTGGTTCTTTGTTTTTTCAGTTCAGCGTGATTCCTTGTCGAGCGTGCATACCCACGCTGATTTCGATATCTTTCTGCCGATGGGAGATAACAGTTTCGGCTGCTCACTATTCCAACACAACAACAAACTACCTTGACCCTCCGACCATGGAGAACAGAATCGGCATGCCACTCTCCAATGACATGATACCAAGTCACTATACATTGTTGAGTACGGTGCATCTCATGCTGAAGAAAGAAACATAAAATATTGGCTGTCTATCGAGCAAAGTCCATCCCGCAACGGGGATACTCATTGGAATGGGCAGTTTTCGATGAGCCGACGACAGTTACAGTGGGTGAACACACAACAACACATTTTATGTTTCTTTCAGGTCATACAGATAGAGCATTGTCTACTCTATAAGATGGTATATCACAACCTATACGGGCATTGGGGTATTGGACGAGAACGAATTGCTCTAAGGTACCCTCTCAATAGGGTTCTCTCACTTTTCTTATCGTGATAATGCTAGTAAACGTTGCATGTTTCACGCTTTTAAGATAACACCCCGTGGGACATCCTTAACAATTACTTTTAAAATTATTGTGGGTGTTGACTTCTTCTGCTTTAGCTAACTTTAACCCTTGTAACGAATCTCAATCGCATTGGTTCCATGGTGGCGGAAGCTGCGTTCCACTTTGTCATGCCTTTCCCTCAAGCTTCGTCCAACCTTTCTTTCCCCTCTTCCTACTGTACCTACTAGCTAGCTAGTGGTACCGGTATGGATGTCAGTGCCGGTAGGGAGCTAGCTTCGATGTAATGGATGTGTGCAATTCTGAAAACCATAAGCCAAAGGAAAGGATAGAAACATATACTCTGAGATTCTTTAACTCTATGCATACCAGTAGATTATGTTCCACATGAAAATCTTTGTTTTGAAGAAGCAAGGCTTCCTCTTAATTGGCTCTTTCGTCTTTTCAACGAACCCTTTTAGAGCACGAATCCGAGGATTGCCATGGCGGTGGCAAAACCCCCAAACAAAGACCATGTTGTCGTCGTCGCACCAGAAGAGGGAGCTTCGGCGGTGCTCGAAACCGGGCCGACATCAATCTCTTCTGGCTTTGCCTCCGGTTCTTCCAAACAACAATCGATTGACATTGCCCCTTCCTGGACAATCTCACACTTGGTAGAATTTGTGATGTGGGATGCAAGGAATGCAAGCCTAGCGCATTCTTCGCTCTTGCTAGAATGCAGGTGCAGTCCACCAGGACATCCCGAACACTCCATGGCAGGTTCCACTCCGGGACAGCCACACAGTCCTTCCAACTGCACACCCGTTCTTTCTTCGGATTTTTCCAAAGCTCGTTCACAGGCAGTCGTTCCACCGGAACGGCTAGTAGCTGTCTCTGGCGTGTTGGGTTCCGCGTGCAAACTCATTAGCTTATCCCATTCGGAGCACGTCACGTCGTGTTGACCTTCTTCTTTATTGCCAGGGATCAAGACTTCTTCGGAGCGTTCCATCAACAGTTGATTTCCACTTTCGTCTAGGCCACACAGCGAGCAGGTTGGCACAACACCAGGGCAGCCGCACATGTAGGAGAACTGGTCAATGAACGTGCAGGTTTCGGGTCCATCCACAGCAGGCATGTCGACAATATCACCGCAGGTCAAATCCCTAAGGAACAAAAGGCTTTGATCGGGATTGAAGCCTTCCGTGCCATGGGGACAAAGGGTGCACGTTTCTTCCACCTCTGTGGGGCATCCACAGAATTGC